AAAGGGGTCAGATTCGTCACCTGAAATAATAAATAATACGAAATATAGTGAACTACGAAAAAAAATTTAAAATCGGTAGATTTCAAAAGATTTATATCTACTTCAAAAATGAATATCGTTATTACCTGACATTTCAGCATCTTTCAAAGCAAGTTCGACAATTTTTCTGCTTCGCTTACTCATTGTTGCACAACACGCACATCAAACAACAGTCAAAGCTAGACTAAATAGATTGGCATTTGTCTGCTTGACAAGTTCCGACTCGAGTAAAGCGACCGCCAGTATGACGCCCGCTGGCACCACTGGCATAAATATGTCGCCTGTGCCCGGGCGGGCGCATACGCCCGCTAGTGGTTTTTTTTGAAAAATTTTCACTATTCTGAATTTTTTTTGGGATGGGAAAAAAATCGAAAAACTAAATAAATATTTTGTTCGATTTGTAAAAAGTATCTTTGTTTGGAACACGTAAATCCAATTTGCAGTGACTGTAGCAATATTCCGGCTTAATTTTATTCTGTTTTTTGCCATCTCTTATATTTTTTTATGACAAGTCTTAGTGAAATAATGTTTTATATATATATATATATATATATATATATATATCCTTTTTTTTAGGCGTTACGCCCGTCCGGTAGGGATCTATGGAGGAGTATCACTGAGCCGCAAGCCCTTATCTCTTGCCGTACTGCTCCACCATAGGCCGATCAGAACCCAGCATATCCTAGTCTAAGCCGCAGATTCATCTAGAATTTTAAACTGCTGCGTTAGACTTTTTGTTTTCTGTACACCGAGCTGGGGCTCGACCCACATCCACTAAACCATTCGACAGTGAAGCGAATGAGAGGCAGCCGCACAGCCCGCTGAGCTATCTGACCGACTGAAATAATGTTTTATTTTTGTTTAAAATAGTTCTTAAAGACTTATATGTTATGTTCTAATTTTAAATTAATTGTAATTTATTTAGTAAAAAAGAGAATAAATCAAACTATTACAAACATTGTGGACTATTTTTTGTACTATCGAGTATTGATCGACCGTTTTTGTATCGCACCGCACTTGGGCCGCGTATTATTCGACAGCTCGTTAGTCTTACGGCATTGACCAAAGATCTTCCTTCGTCCTATCCATCCAAAGGCCGCTAGCATTTTTTTCCGTTCACCGGCACCGAGGACCGCAACCTGTTTGTTTGAATTTGGAGGATTCGTCTTTTTATTTAACGTATTGTATAGAAGTAAATTTTATTTGGTTTGTTATAATTTTATTTAACACTTTAACTCCCAGGCCATAATTTGAAAAACTTTATGCCAACCCAATATACTTTTTTGAGTTTGATGGTAAGAACAATTAAAACACATTTTTGTTAAAACACGAACATGATTTTTCAAAAAAATAAGTGTGGCCATATGTGGTACACATGGGCTAGTAAGAAATACTTAATTTATTTTATTTCGAACAACCCATATGCACCTTATATGTCTCACGGCACATAGATTCAATAAAAGCCATACTAACAACAAGCCATTTATTTTTTTACATAACAATTATTTGTCGCTATTGATATTCGAGCCACCTCGAATTCACACCTTGACATTCGAGACAAGCATAGTTTTTATAGCATAAACTACATCGTCCTCTTGTTTCAGTTTCCTGAAGGGTATGTGGTTAATGAGGAAGAACTTCTACATTTATTTTTTTACCAGTGATCATACCAAATCTTCACGAAACTGTGTGATGCGAATACGTTTTCCTGTAATATGTTGATAAATACATTAACTGTTTACTACTGCCGTGTTTGTAAGCAGTTCGAGTAAAACTATTCGGTACCACTCGGCACCCTTACGAATCGTTGAGACATAAGCGGCCTTTTGGTCAGATACATCTACATATGATTTTATTGAATTATATTCGACAATACTAGAAGGTTTTTTGACTATACTTCTTTTGGATACAACATCTATCATTTCCGGAACAGATTTCGTGGTCAAAAATATCACCTCTCTCTTATTAATTACTATTTAACTGGGAATAAGCCACAATTAAAGGTAAAAATACGTTTATTGACGTTTAAATTTCCACTTAGGAAATCGTTCTCAAAATGCAAACAGTAAATTTTATAAATTTACTGTTTGTATTTTGAAAACGATTTCCGAAGTGGAAATTGAAACGTATCGTCAATAAACGTATTTTTACCTTTAATTGTGGCTTATTCCCAGTTAAATAGTAATTAATGTAAAATGCCACAAGAAAATAGCTTCAGAACAATACCTCTCTCTTATCTCTCCATTTTCCAACAATAACCTTTGAACTACTCTAGTAGTTCTTTCATTCCACGTTTTTGTAATTTGCTTTTAACATTTTGTTGAGGATTTAACTTTCTCTTTCATCGCAGTGTCCCAATTATAAATGTTTTGTTTTTATTTAGCTCGTGAGCCAATGTAACACTGGTGTAATAGTTCGGCTACGGCAAGAGTTCGTCCATGATTTAACAATTTTGCCATCAACTTCATAACCACATCCATAGATACACTCTTGTCGATGGGTATAGTCCCTTTTCCACCATACACCTTTACATTATGAGTGTAAACACTCGGAATACATATTTTCTTCTTCTTCTTCAAGTGCCCTGTCCGTTGCGAACGTTGGCTATTAACATGGCAATTTTGATCTTGTTTGCGGCACTTCTGAATAGTTCGACCGATGTGAGCCCGAACCACTTCCGCAGATTTTGGAGCCACGAGTGTCTTCTCCTGCCTGGCCCTCGCTTACTGTCTATTTTTCCCTGGACAATCAATTGTAGCAGACGGTACTTATCGTGTCTCAATATGTGGCCTAGATATTCAAGCTTTCTTTGTTTAATTGTATTCACGATCTCTTTCTCCTTTCCGATTCTTTGGAGTACCTCTATGTTTTATGGACAGTTTTATTCCGTACTTATGTCGTTTGCCATGTATGTACTGTCGAAATCCTAATCTACCACGAAAAGGCACCATAGTCTCGTCTGTGCAAACTTTCTCACCTGGAATACATACTTTTTGAAATTGTTTGTTTAGACTAATACCACAACTAGCAGAAATTTCGTTTCTATAACACCTATTTGTGCTCCAATAATCTCGAAACATTGGTGTTTTATTTAGTCCCATCCATATTATCAGGCCAAAAAATACTTTCATTTCCTCTCGTGTCGTAGGAATCCATTTAGAAATCAAACCATTCTTTGATATGGTGGCATTCAAAATTCTGTCGATCAAATCTTGTTCAAAGTATCGCTTAGTTTCAGTAACAAGTAAATCTAAAACAGGTTCCAGAAACAGCAAATAGTAGCCAATAGGTAATTTATCTTTCATATGATCAACATTTCTAAATTTAAATTGATTTAACTTATTACTATCAGTATCTTCCCAAATCATTGTATTTTCTGACAAATCTAATGCAGATTCTTCAATTTCAATTTCGGAATTAATATTTTCATCATATTATGACTTATTCCCGTCAGTTTGAGAATTAGTTTTGTTACTTACTTGTTATACTCTCCCTGTAGATGGTATATTTTCAGTTATTTTAATTTTTTTCGAAAACTGGTCACACATGCTGGAAGTTTTTCTTTTAAAAGTGTTCGTATTAGCAACATTTGAAGTTTCCAGATAACTATCTTCACTAGTGCCATCACTGGATTGGTCAAAATTTCACTGGTCACTGGAATTTTCCGACTCACTGTCACTTTCAATAAAATCGCTCTCCTCTAAAATTCGTCTAAGTTGATCTTCACTTAACTTTTGTTTATTTTTCCACAATTTACTCTTTTTACGTACTACAATAACTTTTATTGTACAAGTTAACAGCGCGTGTAAATGATACAATGATAAAAATTATAACCTGTATTTACTCAAAAAATAGCAGGAGTAACAAATCATCGTTCATAGGCATTCTAGAGAACCCGTATACCACGCCTATTAATGCAAGTCGTCTATATATGCGGTACATCTGAGGTAGATAATGGATTTAGTTTGGTTAAAGCAGGGGCACTCATTATAAAAATTACAACCAACAGTAGATGAAAAACAATTTTACAAATATGTTACACTAAACATAAACACAGTGTCAACTGTCTTAAGATTAAAACTAGTTCATGGATGTTTTCTGAAACATCTACACAAAACAGGAGTTCTCCCAACAGACCGATGTGACTGTGAAACTAGTATAGCTGATTTAAATCATATATTCTTCAACTGCCCACTACATCATAATACAAGCACGGGGCTGCTAAAAGAATTCATAAAAGAGGCTTTAAGTATACCATTAAACGTAAATCTTCTATTAAGTGAAGACAATATAAAAATCTTTAAAATCATTATAATATTTCTTATAAAAATTAAATTAAAGGCATGAGTGTAAAATTGATCGTATGCTTGAAAATTTCCTTTGTATGTATACCATATATGTTGCCCACCTACCTAACCGTGGTTTATGTCTTGTTTGTTACAATAAAGCCACTCTGATGAATCCCTGAGCGTGAAAAATGTCCTCCTTGTACAATCCTGTATAAATGAATACTAATATTTATATGTAATTACCTGGCTAAAGGTTTCAAGCCAAAGCCAATAAAATAAAAAAAAAAGTCTGAGGTACACATCGAAATGAACAAGGATGTTTTGTGCCCATCTGTGAGACACATGGGTTGAACGGAAATCTTACTGTGCCCACGAGTGGTACACATGGGAGCTAAAGTTTTAAATTAAACTTGCGTTTTAATGAGTCTGGTATTCAAGTTGTGAGATAATTGTCACAAGATTTCGTGGAAAAATTTAATTGTTAAAAAGTGGTAATGTTTAATTTAAAACGATACTTATTTTAACATTTTGTCTCGCAAATGTTATCTACTTCTTTCACAATCGGACAAAACAATGTAAGTCTTCTTTAAACATTTGTAGTGTAGTACTTGTAGAAAAAATATTTGTTTAATATTACCTTCGTTTATAAAAGATAGTGCTTGTATTGTCCTTAGACGAGTAAATCTATATGAATATGTTGCTTAATATTGAAATGTGCGACGTTGTCTAATAAAGCACCTAAACCCAGAACAAGAAATCTAAATCCGCATCTGGTAACCTTATAATTTCGAAAATTACTTCCGCTATTAACATAACATTATTTAATTGAACGTAGGAGTGTGACCAACTAACCGAAACGTTATTAGTATGGATAATTCTAAAAATTTTGGCAAATTGCTGTTTTTTAACTGCATAATGTGACAGTAATTGGTGATGGTGAAGTCTTAAACCATGACTAGTTGACACAATTGTGGAATTTTTGGAAGTATACTAAATCAAAAGGTAAATGTAACATTACTAAAAATATATATTTGTAGCTCTTCATAATGCTCGAGGTTTCAATTTAATAGTTAACGTTTATCATAGAGAAACAATTTAATACTTAAGGCAATAATTTCGGAACAATAACGAAAAATAATTTTATTATGTTCCTCAATAAAACATCATGTTTACTGATATTTTTAATAACACATAAACAGAGTTACACATTACATAATTTTCTGTACTGAATAATAAATTACAGTGTGGTACTTACACTTCTGTGCGAAGTACAGTAAGGTCTCGATTTATGCAGTGGATACGTTCCAAATAAAGCGCGTATAAAAAAATTGCATAAAAAGGGACATTAATTATTTGCCTTGAAAATGTAAGGATACGTCCTATAGCCTTCTAAAGTTATATAAAACCAAGAGAAAAACAAAAAAGTTTCCGGAAATTAAAAGAAGACCTCGCAATCTATATTTTTCATAAGAATCTTAATATGGCATCAAACATTATTCAACTTTCTTAAAACGTGAAAGTGGAACAAAACCATGAAGTCGAGATATCCAGGAGTGAGCATACCTGTTGAATACAAAGCACGTGGTTTTGTGTGTATCAAGGTATAAAAAATGCTTAATAAAAGCTTAAAACTTTTATTTTAAAGAAGATCTTGGGCTAACTGGTTAGCCCTAGACTCCACCACATATCAGAGGTAATGTAAGTCGACAAAATCTCACCAGGGCCCGTATTTTCGAAACCGTTCGAACGAAAGTCGTATGCGAAAGATGATGAATTTCGAACGAAAATCGATGATTCGTATTTTCGAGTTGATTTCAAACGTATCGTATACGACGATTTTCGTACATGACTGCTCAAGTGGGTATTCACCATTCGAATAGCGGTAAACACACGGAGTTTGACATTTCTGACTTTTGCATTTAGTTTGGTTTTTAATTGTTTACATAAGTGAGATGGTGAGTTAAATGCCTTAGAAGATGCAGAAATGTTAGCGAATGTGGAGAATAGAGTATACTATGCATTTTTAAACCCTCTTGAAGCCTTATCAGACAAACAATTTGTAAAATTATACCGTTTAACAAAGCCTCTGGCAGAGGAACTAATAGAACTTTTGGAGCCCCACTTGGTACCTCCATCTAGGGCATCTGCATTGAGCATACCGAGAAAGGTAAGTATAACAAATATTTTTAATTCGACATAGGTATACTGTGAAAATGTTCCCCAAAGCACCCTCCGCTTTGTTCCTTAAGAATAAGCATCCGGGCCAAGTATTTTACATAGAGAGTAATAAAATTGTTTACCTACGATAATTTTTTGCAGGTTTTCTAATCTATTTTCTTCCATAAAATCTATCAGTTCTTTTTTTTTTTGTTCGGAAGATACAAATCCTCCGAACACGGAATTTTTATTTTCTTTGTCCATATTGGAAACAGAGAAAACAGATAAGTACGAAAACACAAGCACGTTAACGCTGTGTAGAAAATTGAGCAAATCACAAAAAACTAAAAAACTTCAAGTCTGCTGCAACAAGTAAAATAAACTTGTCAGTCAAATAAATGTCTGTCACCTCTACCTCTTCTTTTCTTAATTTCGTGCGAATTTGCGGTGTTGCCGGTGAATTTGGGTTAACGGATTCTCGTATGCGAATTAAACTTTCGAATTGCGTTCGAAAATACGCTTTTACGTTCGTGCACGAATTTTTTTCGTTCGAACTAATCGCATGCGAATAAATTCGAACACATTCAAAAATACGACCCCAGCTCCTGGGGATCATGTTAGATGCCCCAGTTTTAGTTTTTATTGATTACCTAAGTTAACGGTCTATTAAATTTACTATTGTAAATTTTACGAGGATTGTTTTTGTTACTGATATCCTTCTAGTGTTTTTCTGTTGCCAAACAATGTTTTTAACAATTTTTTTATTAAACTGATGATGGAATTATTATTATTATTATTATTATTATTATATAAGCGAGGGCAGAGGAACTAAGTCCCTATTATGCCCAAAAACAAAGAAATTTCATTTATCACCTACTATACTCTGTTTTTTAACCAGAAGGAGTAAACCAAAAAGACAGATTCACACCCAAGAAAGTTACTAGAGAAGTCACCAAATACATCTTCTTTTTTATTGATTATCTCGACCTTGCGGTAATCGAGTAATCAATATCGGACAACCTTCCACGTCAATTCTAACCTAACTTTGTTAATTTATGCACAGTGTAGACAACAATGTTTGAATTATAATTTTTTTTAATTCACTTCACTGATATTACAATTATTACAATAAAAAAAGAACGTTTTTCACATTCATCTAAGTTTGGTTTTTCACATAAATTTGTCTTTTAATTTGCAAATAGATCTAATAAGTATGCAACAAAGCTATGCAAATGCATGTATCAAAAAGTTAGAGACGGTTCAAAGATTTCTGAAATACTGTTCTTTTAAACTGCGTAGACCATATTTTTATTCTGATGTGATTAAATTCTTGAATATAGGTTTTTTTTTTCTTACCAGAAGAGTTAACTTTGACTTCGATCATTATTTTTAAGCTTAATCCAATCTCCTGAATTGCTTCAGGCAATTTGTTTTACATACTCCGTCCCGTTCACTGCTTTAAAATTCACTTTTTCATATTTCCCATCACAGAATAAATTATGGTTCAAATATGGGCGTGGTATTTTGGTAATCATTTACCTCATTAGATAGATTTGTTTAACTTATGTATCAATATCTTTAGGTTCTATTTGAAGCCCTATAATGCAAAAAGATACTTTGTATAAATAAGTGTGTAGTTCCAATTTTTTTAATGCTGGATTCTTGAGTTTGTAACATTTGTTATCAATAAATAAAATCGACTAAAATTATCAAATTCAATCTATTATGTTACATTCAAGCATAATTGTGCAGTTTTCTTGTGATTATCTACAACCAGGAAGAACAAAACCAACTGCATCAATGCAATCTATAACTAAAACACATATTACTTTACTATATAATGTTCTATTATTGTGATGAAAACAAATGAACATGCTTCTTAACAATACTTTAAACAATATTTAGTATAAATATCATCTAGAAAAATATCACATTAAATAATATTCGCATATCACCAGTCTGCTAATATTCTTTAATTGTTTGGTTAATAGTTGAATTCGCAACACCTAAAATTAGCACATTACTTTAGTAAGTTTTGATTTTAATAATAACTATTCTGCAAAACTAACCTGCTGCCTGTTTTACTTTTGCTACCGTGGCTGTTATTTTCAATCCAGAATTATCAATTTTCATTTTTTTATACATGTTTATAAAACATTGTTTATTTGTTGATAAATGACCCAAATCTACTGGGCGTTTTTAAAGTGGAGAAGAATAATTACCACTAGTACTTGGCAGTGAATCCATATTGTTATCTTAATAACACTAAATAGTTCTGAAAAGAACTGTTCTTTATATAAATGCAAACGAAAAATCTATGAATGTAAGGAATAACGCAGAAAATACAAAAAGTCGTCGATATAAATTTTGAATTTTAAAATTTCACAAATGTCATTAGTGTCAATATGTCATAATTTAGTGGAGTAAACTTGCCTGCGGTTGGACCAATTACAAACAAGAATTACGGCGCGGAAAATTTGAATTACTCCTCCTGGTTAAAAAACAGACCATAGTAAATAATAAAAATTACAACTAAAAGAAATAAAATTACAATTTTTGGTTTAAAGGAACAACAATATTTTAACTATAATATAAAACTGTCGAGTCTGTTTTTGAACGAGTTGGTAGAGGAAGCGGAGACAATGTTATCGTTGAGGTTATTCCAGCACTGAAAAACTCTATTTGGAAGAGAGTTCTGTCTTTGTCTTATAGAAAAATTTTCTTTCTTTAGTTTATATTGATGACCTCTGAGGCGTTCATCTTGGTTTATGATAAATATTTCATCGAGGTTTCCAAAATTGAATTTTAGTATTTTGAATGTTGTAATTAAGTCTCCACGTTGTCGGCGAACTTCGAAAGTGGTTAGGTTAGCCATACTAAGTCTTTCTGCATAAGACGGTCTTCTCGGTCATAAAGAAATTCGAGTGGCTTTTCTTTGAACGTTTTCCAACAGAGTCTTGTCTCGAACCAGATCGGGATACCACGTTGATCCAGCGTATTCAAGTATGGGTCTTACGTACAGAGTGTAAAGTTTGCAAAATGATTGCATGGAAACTCCCGACAAACACCTCCGAATAAGATACAGTCTGCAGTTTGCACGTTTACAAATAGAAGTAATATGATCGGACCAAGTTAGGCTGCTGTTCACAATAACACCAAGATCGTTATACGAAAACACAGATTCTAATGGCTGCCCGTTAACAAAGTACGGCACAAGTGGGTTATTTTTGCCAATTCGAAGCACTACACATTTTTCCGCGTTTAAGGGTAGTAACCACTGGGAACACCAAGTTAAAATAGAGTCCAAGTCCATTTGGAGAGTTAGCTGGTTTGTATTTGGATTGGCATATATTTTTGTGTCGTCAGCGTAAAACGATATTTTACTTGAGACATAATAAGGAATATCGCTGGTGTAAACCGTAAAAAGCAGAGGTCCAAGGACAGAACCCTGAGGCACTCCACTTTCCACTAACCTGTCCTGTGAGAAAGATTCGCCAACTCTAACTTTGTAATATCGATCTGTCAGGAAATCATCTATCCAACGAAGTAAAGTACCGCGAACTCCGAAATGTTCTAGCTTATGTAGAAGTCTGCGCTTAGGTACACGGTGAAAGGCTTTAGAAAAATCTAGATAAACAACGTCGACCGGCTGCGAACTGTTAAGGGATGAGGTCCAGTCGTTAACACAATGTAGGAGATTGGTTAGAGTAGAGCGACCAGAGACAAATACATGTTGTTGTGTTGGAATAACATGTTCCTGGAGAAGGAATTTGGTCATCTCCTCGGAAATAATGACTTCCATAACTTTGGCAACTACTGGCAGCAAGCTAATCGGACGATAATTG